TGGGTGGGGATTGTGAGCAGTAGGACCCCCTCCCAACATATGAAGTATAATGCACCAATGCAGTGTAAAATTAGTGTTATCAGAGGCATTGGTTGAGGTATTGTAAATCCACAGGAGCACTATTCTGTTTCACGTGCAAACTCTTTTAATTGTCCGACAACCCCAGGCATTTCCAAATGGAAAGAAGCAAGAGGAGAGGTTTTGTTCTCAAGAAAACAGTGTGGAACATCACAATGGCTAGTATGTTCACAAGGCAAGCATCGGATTGACAGGGAATGGTACAGTTGCTTCTAACACAAACGCTCACTGGAAAGAAGTTTCAAGGTGTATTGTGATAGTTAAGCTTCTCGCTGAACATGATTCGTATTTAGAGAAAGGGAGGAAGTTACCAACTCTCCTCAGAACAGAAATGATCTAGGTATTCTTGAAGCATCGCCAAAACTGACCCATTTCTAAGTGAGCACATGAAACACTATGGAAACAAAGGGAAAGGTCACCCATCCTAGCTGTCAAAACCAATCTGTGTTGAGTTCATTGAGCTAATGAAACATAAGGTTTTAGAATTCATTGTCACTGAAGTCAAACAGGTGAAATACTTCTCTTTGGCAATACATTGAAGTCCGGACATCACTCATGTTAATCAGTTATCTGTCCTTTTACAATACTGCTCACGTGGTGCTGCGTATGAGCATTTCATTGGGTTTCTACCAATTAAAAGCCACACCGTCAAGTCGCTCCTCCAGACAGTGATGTTTTTATTGGACATAAACAATATTGCTATTGAAAACTGCAGAGGTCAGTCATCCGATAACACAAGTAACATCTGGTGTTGGCCGCTGGCGGAAGACAGGAGGACACTGGGCTAGATGGACCCTTGGTCTCACCCAGTATGGCTGCTCTTATGTTCTTACCGTGTCTGGAACGTATGATGGTCTTCAAAATCAAAAGATCAGATCAAAAACTAAGCCCACTAGCTGTGTATGTGCCATGCACAGCTCATTTTCTGAACTTAGTTGGAACTTGCAGCATTGATTCTTGCATGAAAGCCATAAACTTTTTCAGTTTTGTTTAGAAACTATTTTTTTAATGCAGCATCACCCAGGAAATGGCAGCTTCTGTGCAACGTTATCGAGTGTGAGCAAAGAACTCTTTGCCCTAAAAACTGTTTTGAAGTCAAGATGGTCCTGTCATGCTGAAGCTTGTAAAAGAATTGTAGTAGACTATGAAGGCATTCAACATGGTTTGAAAGAAACAATAGACAATGCCAAGGAAAACGGTAAAACTGGAAGAGAGGCACAATAGCTGTACAAGGAAATGAGCTGACTGCAGTTATGAATATCTTATAGACTGTGACACTAGCAAGCTTTGACAAAACTAGTGTAAAGCTTCAAAAGCCAGGTCTGGATCTTGTTGTTGCTGTTCATTTGCTGACTTCCTTGCAAGAGTTTGTCACAAGGTTACAGTCTCAGTTTTGACACTTTTTGAGACGCAAGCAAAAAATTTGGACATGATGATAAGGCTTACAGAATACAAATGTACTGTAAAACAAAAATTTCCAGATGGTGAAAGTGACACTACAAGAAAGAAGGAAATATGAAGTTGAATGTTTTTATGTTATCCTCAATAAACTAAGTTGGGAACTAAAAAGGAGTGAATGTTATGCTGAACTATCTGCAAAATTTGGCTTCTTTATTTTTCTTGAACAAAGTGAAGAAGAGATGCAAACATGCACTCAGGCATTGCTCAACGCTTACCCGAATGATCTAGAGCCTGGTCCTTCCACTGAAATGTTTTATTGTTCAGCATTTAAAAGATATTGTGACATACAGGATAAGAGTGCTACTGGAATCATCAAATTTTTGCATGCTTTGAGTAATGTCTTCCTGAATATCTTCATTGTGTTGAGACTGTATTTGATTGCAGCCATTGCCAACTGAAGCAGAGCAATTGTTCTCTAAGCTTGCCTTAATCAAAAAAAAATCTTTGGTCAACTACAGTAGAAGTGAAGCTTAATGCTCTTTCTATCATGTCAATTGAATGGGATTTACTTTGCACAGTGTCATCTGAGGATACAATAACTGAATTTGCAGCTCTTAAAGCTCACAAGATGTCAGTTTAAACAAGCAACATTTTCATTTGACTTGATGTTTATCCAGGAAATATATAACCTGGTCATTGTCTTTTGATTTTCTTTTCATGTTTATTCAGTATCATACGTGACTTGTTGATTGTCATAAGCTGGTACTTTTTTCTCTCATTAATACTGGGAGGCCTCCAAAAAACATTAGCTCCTGCACTCCAATCTCATTAATCCAGCCCTGTGTTCCAAAGGGCTCTGTCCTTGGGCCCCCTTCTCTTCTCCCTCTACAGCTTTTGCTGGATAATCCCATCCAAACACACAACCAACTGTCATCTCTATGCCAATGACTCTCAGATCTACCTCTCTCCTTTAGACTGCCTCCTTCTGTCCAAACTAAAATCAGTCCAGTCTCTCGGACGACATCTCACGGACGTGTAGCCACCAGCTGAAGCTAAATTTGGCTAAAACAGAACTCCTAATTTCCCCCCGAAAACCCTCTTTCCTGCTTTCTTTCTCAATCACTGTGGACAACGCCACCATCTTGCCTGTTACTCAGGCCTGCAATAGGGTGTCTCTCTAAATCCTCACATCCAGGCTATGTCTAAATCTTGCAGATTCCTGCTGCACAACATCTCGTGTCCATCCACACAGCTAGAACTCATCCCAGTTCTCCTCTCACATCTTCATTAATGCAACATCCTTCCCTCTGTCCTTGACTAATGTCATCTTGTCCCGTTCATATCCACTCTGAATGCTGCTGCGAAGATCAGTGTCCTAGCCCGTCACTTTGACCACATCCCCCTTCTCTTTGCATCCCTTCATTGGCTCCCCCTTCTCTCGTGCGTCACACACAAGCTACTTGTCTTCACTTTCAAGGCTTATCCCCACCTACCTCTCATTTCTCATTTGCTATTGAAATGTCGACTCCCGCCTCCGATCGGCCCATGACGCCAGCCTCCGTTGCATTTTCAAACAAGCCCCTCAGTGCTTTCTCCTCTGCTGCCTCTCGCACTGGGGAGGAGCTCCCCATAGACAGCCACAAAGCTACCTCATTGAGGAGGACAATGTCTACAAACAACTTGATTCCGTTAGGCAGCTGGTGTGCAGACACCACTGCTGATCATGCTGACCAGGACTGTTGCACTGTTCGTGTTCTCCTCTGTCTGTATCTATTGATTCTTCTCTCATACTTAGATTGTAAACTCTTGGGGGATACGCCGTGTCTTTGTTCTGTGTTTGTACAGCCCCAAGCACAGTGGGATCCTGGTCCCTGACGAGGGTTCCTAGGTGCTATGGCACTACAAATAAATAAAAACTATTATTCTACTAGAGGGAAAGCTGAGAAGAACTCAACAGGTTTGTCTCTCTGAGGGGTCATCCTTTCTTTTTCTGTAGCCAGATTTCAACCTTGTCACATTTCAGATGCACCAGCCATACAGTGGGGCCCAATCCCAAGGTGGCAGTGGAACGGGCCAGGTCACCTTTTAGGTCCGTGGCTCCATTTGTAATTTTGATAGGAGGATTCCGATATACTCGTCAGTCTCCTCTCCAGTGTAAGTACCCAGGGAAACGGCAAGAGATCTATGCAGCCTTATGGTTCTGGGGTTTGGGAGCTTTCCTTGTATGTTCTATACCTTTCCTTTGCCATGTGTTGCTCTTGTCTGTTTAGATTGTAAGCTTGTTGGGGCAGGGAGCTGTCTCTTACTCTGTACTGGGCCGAGCACAACGAGGTCCAATCCCAGGTGGCATCCGAGCCGCTAGAGTAACACAAATCCATAAACAAACTGCCTCCAGCGTTACAGCCCTACATAAACAACTGCTCTTGCTGCCAGAGCTCAGTATGTAGAGCACTCAGGAAGGGCACAGATTTCCTTCTGTTCCGGTTTTCGTTTTAACTAAAGGATATAAGGTAACTTTCTGTGTCGCTATCATTTCTGAGGCTAAGGGTTTGCCATGGCATGAGCGGGGGGGGGGGGGGGGGAATAATGGCTTTGTTATGGGGGGTGGGGGGGCAAAGAGTTCTCACACCTCAGGAAACACTTGTAACTGGTAATGTATGAAACTAATTGATTCCAGGTTAATTCACAAGATAGTGCATAGGCCAGGGAAGGTACGGAGCTTTCATACAGTCACGATTGTTCACCATAGTAGCATTGGAAGCCTCAACCAAGATCACGGCCCCATTGTGCCAGGTGCTGTACAGACACAGTGAGATGCAGGCCCCAGGCTGAGTTTTCTATAGCAAAAAAATAAAAGGGGACCTGTAAACTGCACATGTGACCAAGCGCCTCGCATAATGGGGCCATGATCACTAAGGGCTGCCAAAATACAAATAATATATCATAAGAACATGGCAGCAAGAGCAACTGTTCCTACAACATTGAAACGATCGGAGGGAGTCATGCAAAATGAAAGTTACAGCAGAGCTGCCAGAGACGGTGAAGTTCAGAAACCCAGGGTCCATCCGAAGCTCATCAGAACCTCTCAGCCCTGCAATATCAAGCTGGGAATCCTGTTCAGCCAAGTTCTTCCCGCTTCCAGTCAGTCTGAAAACCTACAAGTGCAGCCTCTCCCACGTGCACTTCCACTTTTGGGCCTCAAAGGAACGTGGCAGGGCAGAGAAAAATGATTGAGTGTGGGAGTTGATGGAAAGTTGAGTTTAGGTTTTGGGTGAAGGCTCAGTGGGTTCCTATTGTCACCAAATCAATTTGCCCCACCCCTAACAATCTCCTTTTCGATTCACCGTGCACTCCGCCGCTGTTTTAGGGAGAGCAAGATGCTTTTCTTAGTCAGCAATGGAAACCTCCCTCCTCTTTTCTATTGTGTTGGCCATAGACCTGGATTGTTTTCTGTCTGCTATCTCAGGGCTGAGGGGAAGAGCTGTAGCAGTTAGATCACTGCCCACCTCCTGCTGGGCTGCTCATTTCTTTTTGAAGAGCTTGCGGAAGGAGCTCCGGAAGCCCCCTTTGGGTTCCTGCCGCGGGTTGTGCTCGCTGAAGGATGTTTGTTCGTTGTCATCCTTCTGGCAGAACCTGGTGTTGTCTTCTGCATGTAGCTCCTAAAATGGAAAAGATGGTTTAACCAGCATTTACAACCTCACCCTTCTCTCTGCAGTGGAGGAAACGGAGGAACCTGACAGCCAGGTCATGTTGAGGAGTCTGGTTTCATAGATTCCTAGATTCCAAGGCCAGAAAGGACTATTGTGCTCATCTAGTTTTAACTCCTGTATAATACAGGCCATAGAACTTCCCTACATTAATTCCTGTTTGAACTACAGCATATCTATTAGCAAAGCATCCAATCTGATTTTAAAATTGCCAGTGAGGGAGACTCTACCACAGCCCTTGGTAAGTTGTTCCAGTAGTTAATTACCCTCACGGTTAAAAATTTGCACCTTATTTCACTCTGCATTTGTCTGTGTGGGTTAGACTGCTCCATCGCTCAGACTTCTGCAGTAGTGATGCCTCTGCACAGCAGTTAACGTGGGGTCTGTAAAGCCAGGGAAACCAAGGAAGAATAATTGAGGGGGTAAAAATAACCCTTATACAAAGTGACTGTTTTAAGCCACGTCAGAGAGCTGAACAATGTCCCTGTTACCAACGCTCCGGCCTTTCATCTGCAAGGATTCAGAATCCCTTCACCAACCGTGGGGCAAAGCGGTGCAGGGCAGTGGCACCTCGACCAGTGGATCCTGCATCGGGCGTGCTCACCGTGTTGGACGGAGGGCGCCTCTGGGGGAGGGTGGATGGTGCTGCTGGCTTTGTCACTCGCTGTATGCGCACCCGCAGGACACAGCATGAGGTCACCTGTCACTGACACATGGACTGTAATGTAAGTGTGTCAGTGAGGGACTCCTCCCACTGGTGTTGAGGAAATGATGCTGTAGGGCCCCTTCCTCTAATGGGTGGGCTGCATGAGGAAGTGATTCTGGAAGAGTGTGAGTTTAAAGCGGTATAGCTTCTCCAGAATGCGAGCAGGGAGCTGTTCCGCGATAGCTATCCTAGACAAGTTCCTCCTATACTCAAGCATTAAGCGCTGATTTCTGCTCCCCCCCGCTCATTGCCAGGCAGACAGTGTCCCCAGAGACCTCCACTACTTTTGATGCCTGCTTAACTAAGTAGTGTGGTCTAGCGGATGAAGCACTGGACTGGCCACCTGGGGTCTATTCCCAGCTCTGCCACTGGCCTGCTGGGTGACCTTGGGCAAGTCCCGTCACCTCCCTGTGCCTCAGTTTCCTCATCTGTAAAATGGGGGCAAGGATCCCACCCTCCTTGAGTGAAGCACTTTTAGATCTACCAATGAAAAGTGCTAGATAAGAGCTAGGGGTAATTATTAACAACTCTGCGCAGGCTGTTCCCCAGGCATTCGGCCCTGCCTCAGTCGCTTCTCCGTCCTCCTCGCCGTTTTCTAATCTTCATTGTCTGTGCTCCTGCGCTCTCTCTTTAGTGTATCTGGGGCTTTCCTTGTTCCCTCCTCCCCATCCCCTGCCGGGCATTCCCCAGCTCTGCACACAGGCCAACAGGGCCCATCCCTGGAGGATCCTCTCAGAGGCGACAATGCCACCAAATATGTCCCCAGGTCTGAATTTACCTGGCCCTGTGTTAGGGTTAGTGCTGTGCCCTGTTCTAAGCCATCACCTTCGTATAAGCTTGTACAGAGCTGGGGTTACCCCAGCAGGGCCCTGCTTCAGGAGACCTAGATCAGGTGCCAGCTGGGCTAGGGCTTGTGGGCCAGATCCTCAGCTGCTGCAATTGGGCTGACTTCAGTGGTGCTGAAATGGTTTACACCTGCTGGGGATCTGGGCCCATCGGCTTCGGTGGAGCCACATTGACTTATAGCAGCTACGGCTCTGGCCCTAACGGCATTTGTCTTACTTGGCCCTGCCTCTTTTACCCACCACAAGCAGGTCTGAGCCCTCATTTCAAAGGGCTGTGCTCCATTGTTAACCTGTTGCCTCCATCGAGGGGCTTGCTGCAGGGGGCTGAGAAAAGCATGGATCGTAGGGGCTCAGTGACAGTGGGAGAAAGAAGCCAGACACACCAGAAGGGCCAAATTTTCGAAAGTGGCCTCTGAACCTGCACCCACAAAATTGTATTCACCAAACCTGCATTTGCCCCCTTGCCGCCTGGTATTTGGGTGCAAATTGTGCCCTTCTGCTTCTCACTACCCGAGGTATCTGTGCAGGGGAAGGCTTTGCATGTGCAAATTTGGAAGCTATTTTGGAAAATTCTCCCTTAAAAGTTTCTCTCTGACCCTGCTGCACAATGTTGCGTTTTTATTTTCGCCTCCTTACTTCCAAAAAGCTCGGTTTCTCCCCCAGCCCTCTGGGAGGGGGGAAGTAGCTCCTTTGGGAGCTTCGAGAGGATGCCGCCATCAGGTGAGGCTGCAGGCTTCTCTCCTGCTTGTGCTGCAACTGGCTACTGCTGCTGCTCCGGGTGCTGTAGAGTCTCGTGCTCATGCCCTCCGTGCTCCTGGGGAACTCCTTCAGGGACCGGCTCAGCTGCTTGCCTTTGCTGTGAAACGCCTCCTGCTTGTAAGCACTGCCGCTTTTAGGCAGCGGCTGTGACGAGTGCTCTGTCCTGTCTGGCTCCACTGTAAAGCTAACAGGCCTTAAAAAGCAAATATCGAGGCTGGATTCAGAGGAGGCCGGGGAGCAGTTCTCGAAAAGAGCCAGGTTTTGAAAGGTCTCGTCCTCGTAGGGACCTGGCAGGGTGAAAACTTCCCCCCCATAGTCCAACTCTTCATAGTTTGGAGCAAAGCTTCTAGCATCCTGCAGCAGCTCCATTGAGGTCCTGACCGATCTCTCAGCATTTCCCATTGGATCGGCTGGGGGAGTTTCATAGTCCATCTCCGGGATCGCTTGCAAGGGGATGGACATGGCCTTTAGCTCCTGCTCGGGGAACTGAGATGAAGCAAGGATATTTTCTGGCCTTTCGTGTTTTCTAGCCTCCATTTCCCAGTCCGATGGCTTCCCAGCCTGGATGTTCTCCATCATTGCAGACTGGTTCTTCTTCATCTGTGGCATCAAATGCCTTAAAAAGGAAGGAAGCAGGGGGAGGAAATACAGAAAATACTGTGATGTACATGCATTTGGCAAGCCTGGCTCAGCCACTACCTTAGTCACTCCAGTGCCATTTAATAAGGGTGTCGCAAGCATTCTGTATGATGCAGCAAATGCCAGAAAGCAGCCGGTCGGGACTGGCAGGAGGGAGGAACCCCCTGGTTATTGCTCGTGCGTGTCCCGGTGCAACTAGAACCCAGAGTCCTGTAAACCCTGCCTGCCTGCAGTCCCTGTGCAGTAACTCTGGGTGCACGGGCAGCTCATCCACTCACACTCAGAGCTAAAGAAAGGCGGAGCTGGGGGGGGGGCGGAGGATAGCCCCGTCCCATCTCTTGAGAGCAGAGGGGAAGCTCCTACTCTTCAATCTGTTGTCACACTCCCCTAGCTCAGGGGCCATGCCTCACTCTGCCTCTTTCCCTTCAAGGGGTCCGGGAAGACCCTGCCCCTGGTGCCCCCTAGTGTGCTGGAGGGCTGGGCAGAGGCCCCGAAGGGGAATTCCAGCTGAGGAAGTTGGGATTTCCCCTGTGTGTTTCAGGGGTGCGCTTCTCTTGGAGAAGGTGCCTCACAGTCGCATCTCCTGCCAGTATGGAGGCAGGGATGGGGAAAGGCCCCAGCCCTCCCTGCACCCCCTAGGGTAGCTAGCACCTTGGGGACACTGTATTCACTAGAGGTCCATCTACACTGCAGCTGGGAAGTGTGATTCCCCACTCGGATCGATGTCCATGCGCTAAGCCGCTGGAGACAGCACCAAAAAATAGCAGTGCGGCCGCGGCGACACAGGCAGTGGCTCAGGCTAGCCACCCGAGTATGGACGGCTTTTCCCATTCCGAGAAAAACTGAGATTTCAAAGAAAATTCCGAGCCCAAAATTGGGACAAAAATGTTTGCAAACAGAAAATCCCAATAAATAAATACATACGTCCATACATAAAAGGGGGGTTGTGTCAATCAAAATATTTGGTTTCAATCATTTCCAAATGTTTTGTTTCAGTTTTAACTATTGAAAATGTATTGGCGTTGTTTTGAACCGGAACGCCGGGATTTCTCCTTGAGAAGATGTTGAAATGATACATTTGGACAATTTCAAAAAACATGAGTCAAAAAAAGGTGTCGAAACCCGACAAATCAGCATTTTCCAATGGGGAAAAAAATTAGTCACAAAGGGCTGAAAGCTCAAAAAGGAGTTAGGCTCTTAACTTGGGTTTTAGCTCATAAAATGAACATCAGTGGAAGTTAGGAGCCAAACTTGTGAACATTCAGCCCCAAATTCCCAACCAGCTGAACTGCAAAGCAGGAGGAAGTGTTCCTATGCAGACAAATTGTGTTGTCACTGCAATGCACTGGATCATAGCAATCTCTTGCTTTTAAACAACACCATAAGCACACAATGGTGGATTACTGTAATTCCACAAAACTCTCTCATGCCATTTTTGGCTTTGCAACAATGAAAAATGCATTCTCGCGCTTCGGGAAAATCTATCCGAATGAACCCCTAGCGGATCTGGACTGCACAGGTTAGCACGGCAGCCCTGCTCACCCTCTTGGGTCTCAAAGAGTGAATCTTTGGCCTTGGAAACTCAGACCAGCTTTCCCAAAAACTGCATTAAAATGAGAGGTGGTGGAAATTTTTCATTCAAAAACTGAAAATGCTATATAAATATCTGAAAAAAACCTTCAAATAAATTTAAAAAAATGGTTCCTTGTCCCAACCTGCAGGATGAAAACTATTTCAGTGTTTTTTACACCAAATATTTAATAGATTTTTAAGGCCAAGACAGGACCATTGTGATCATCCAGTCCCACCTCCTGCAGAGAACAAGCCAGAGACCCTCAGCCAGTAAACTCTTCCTCATACCCTTCCTTCGGTTGGAGCTACAGCAGATCTTGTAGAAAGACCTTACTATTTTCCAACCAGCACTGATCAGTACAGAAAAGTGGTGGGCTTCCCCACTGCTTTGCGTGCACCTCCTATAACCACTGCTCCCTAATTAGCCTGCTCTTGCTCAGTTGTACTATATTTTAATCCTTTTTGATAGCCTGGCAGCCATTAGTAGCCAACCAGAGTGCAGGAATTTGCATCGTCACTGAGTTATTTTGTGATAACTACACTGGGGTAATGCAAATCTCTCTACTCTGATTGGCTACTACGGTCCCTCTGCTCCTACACCAAGAATTTCCAAGCTGTTTGCCAGGAGACGTGTTCTCCTCCCTTCCCCAGGCATTCCCCACCACTCAAACCTGCTCCCAGAAGGTACTTCCTCCTGAGAATGCATAGAGAGGTTTATTACCCTGCACAGGGGAGCCAACCTGCTGCAGACCCCGCCCCCCCTCCCCAGAATGGCCATGCTGCAGCAACACGCTTGGCTATTTCTAGTGGCACATTGGTGCTGCTGAAACTTGTTGGGGCTGTGTGGGGAGGGAAGCGATGCCGGCCTGACAATAGGCTTACGTGGCTGTTGTGCTGGAAGAGGGGGCTGCTGGGAACTGCTGCATCACCTCTTCGGAGTGGATCCCGCTGTCTCGGATGGCTGTTGTGATGGATGTCTGAGAAACCTCCTGGCTGGCACTGGCACACTGAGAAGCCAGACCTTTGTATAACTTAACCAGGGACGACCTAGGGGAATTGAAATTCATCACCAATAAACAGAACCGGGCAGAAACAGAGCAAGAGATCAGCGGAAGCAGCACAGCCTGTGTTCGTTTTTAAGGCACATGGCAAGTTTGCTCATCGTTTCAGTAACAGCCTCATGTATGAGAAAGGGTGATGTCTTTGTGGTTACGGCCCTTATGTGGGACTTGGGAGATCTAGGATTAATTCCCAGCTCAGCCTCAGACTTCCTGTAGGACATCAAGCAACTTACTTAACCCACTGTGCTTCAGTTCCCCTTCTGCTGGGACAATAATTCTGCCTTGTCTATTTAGGCTGTAAGGTCTTCAGGGCCTATTCAAAGCTATTTCAGCAAGCGGTGGCTAAAATCTGCTCAAAGCACGTCTTAACCTTGATTTGCTGGACGCTTGCAACTGAACCCATGTCTATCACCTGCTGTCAGCAACAGGTAATTTTTCTAGGGTGGACCAGGCCTATGAAACCAAGGAGTCATTTGTTTAAATTAATGGCTGGTACATTTAGAACAAATAAAAGGAACTTCTTTCCTTTCTCTGAACCATCAGGAAGTGGCTGCTCCAAATCTGATCCAAAAAATGTGACAACCAATGTTCTGATCTAACAGGAGCCAGATCCTCAGCTGGTGGAAATGTGACCATTTGACAGCACTGGAGCAGTGGGCCCATGGACACCAACTGAGAATCTGGCCCTTTGTTTCCACCTGCTCCATCATTTCTCCCCGAGAGTACAGGGCCATATCTTGTGCCAGACTTACTTCTTCAGCTTTTTCCGTTTCTGTATGAGCAGGTCTTCGTTGCACTGTAATAGCAGGCTGTAGTGCGAGATAAAAATGCGGAAGCGCTGCACACACACCAGGAGCAGGTAGTAATCGGGGTGCTCTTGCTCAGTGTACTTCAGGATGTTCTGGGGCGCAAAGGGAAGCAGACTGTTTGGACGATGTCCTCGCTCTTCTCATGCAAAGGCGCTAACGTGACTTTGGGTTAGTACTAAGGGCAGGTCTACACCACGGGATTAAGTCGACCTAAGTTACGCAACTCCAGCTATGTGAATAATGTAGCAGGAGTCAACATACCTTAGGTCGATTTATTGTGGTGTCTACACCACGCTGGGTCGACAGGAGAAACTCTCCCGTCGACTTACCTTACGCTTCTCGTTCCGGTGGAGTACCGGAGTCGACGGGAGAGTGATCTGTGGTCGATTTAGCGGGTCTTCACTAGATTCCCGGTGGATTGATCACCACAGCAGACCGTTTGGACTATGTCCTCGCTCTTTTCATGCAAAGGAGCTAATGTTACTTTGGGTTAGTACTAAGAATCAACCAACTGCATGAGGCTCTGAAAATGCATTGTGTGAACTCTTTGAGATGGGGGTTGTAGGCATTTGGACAAGAAAGAAGATGCTTTTCATCCCCAACAAACCAATTTCCTTGCTGCAAGAGCCAGCTGTTTGTGCCGCACTTGTCCGGGGGTCATTCTTGTTTGGGCACTGCTAGCCCTGCCCCCCTAGGATTTTGTATATCCCCTGTTACAGAGAAACGGGATGCCAGCAAGGAAAGGGTTACCCGTCCCCTCAATAGAGGTCACCAACCTAAACAATGTGTGCGTGTCTTCCTCCAGTAGCCTCTTGTGCCGTTCCTTTACCACCTCCCTGTCTCCTCCCAGGTCTAGCCCTCTGCAGGCTGCTCCCATCCTGTTTTGCATTCTCTCTCTGCTCCTTCCTTCATGGCTCCGCTTCCCTCGCATTGACTCTCACAGCCACACCCCAAGTTACATTCTTACCCCCCCCAGTCTCTCCATGTCCTCCTCATCTCTCGAACACCCCTGTAAAAGCACTGAGTCATAGCCAGAGCATCACCACTCCACAGGGACGGATTAGCACTGTTTGCAAATTGGGAAACTCAGCTAGAGGGATCAAGCCGTGACTCAGCCATGGGCAAGGTGTGGGCCAATGTCGGAGCCGGACCTGGACAACAGGAGCCCTTCACTTCCATGCCAGTCCCACTAGGCCATGCTGCCTCTCACACTAGTAAGCCACCACCTTTGTGGCTAGAGACCATGCTGGCTACTCAGTAAAGGAGCGGACTCAGCTGTACATGGTTGGCTAGTAGTTCCCGGCAGCCCTAGCCCAGTCACTGGAAGCCCACACGTCCCCCACAGCTGTGTGAGGGTCTGGGGTTTCTCAGAATGGGGGGCATTCCCGGGACACAAAGGCTGTCCTGGCCCTGAGGAAACTGCCAATCATGAGAGAGTCTCCTAGAGACCAGTCTCCACTGGCTTCCACTTTCAAGGGCTCAGAGATTTCGCCGGGTGGCTGCAGAGGCCAGCTCTGAGAGAAGTGACATGCAGTGTAAATGCCAATACCAAGTGTTATCCTTACAGGGCAATAGGGTGACCCGGGCAACTTTCATGCGTTAGTCCTACCTGTAAGTGAATAAGGTATTCGGGGACACGCTGGACTATATGAAAGAACAGCATGTAGAGGTCAGACTTAATTTCTTCTTCCACCTGAATTGGAGAAAGTAGATTTAGCATCACTATGGCATGTAAGTTCCCAGTGCAGTTTGTATTCACGTGATGCTGTACAGTACACACAGCAACTCGCAGGGAGTGACAGACGAATGACAAGGGGATGAGATGACAACAGTCCCAATCATGTTATGCTAAGGGCTGGACTGTGAGCCCCTTATGCCCACTGGCAATAGTCACTTCTGGGACTAGTCCCACTGATTTCTATGGAACTGCTCAAGGTGCAGGGCACTACTCTGTGTGAATAAGGATATCAGCATCTGACCTTTACAGACCGCCTCTCTCCCCTGGGTGATACCACAGGACTGAGCGACGTGAGCCATTAGACCCCTGGCATGAATGCAAAGAGGCTGGCAGCAAGGAGGTCTCAGGAAAGAGTCTTTCTCCAGGGCATGTGAAAGGTTTATCCATTCTCCTACATACCCTCCCACGCAGTGGTCTGGATGGGGTGCAAGGGAGGATTTCCTGGCGGGGGGGTGGTTTTTTACAGCTATTGATCCAATTGAACTTCTGGATGTAACTTCATTCAAATACAGGGTGACATTAGAATTAGACAGCTGCCTTTGGTAACTCGGAACAACCAATCGATCAACAAGCCCATCATTCAAGAAACCAGTGTTTGGTAATGAAATAATTTGGTTAGCGGGATGGAAAAAAACGGCAGGAAGAAACCCTGGAAAATATGTTCCAACAGCTGTGGGAAGTGGGGCAAGGATGGCGGGAGGGTCAGTTTGCAAACAGAGATTGGGTGGTTTGGACCACAGCCTGGGGCAATCCAGGGACAAGTTCAGATATTTCACAGAAAATCTCCCGGCATTCTCAGGCTGCCAGTGTATAATTAGCAATGGCATGGTTATGCCGAAAGGTGTCAATGGCTGCCATCAGTAGTATCTTGGGGCTAAAGACAATCGCAGACCTGGATTTGATGATTTCAGAAGTGTGTCTTGTGGTTCTCTGTGCTATGTTTCATGTGCTCAGGATGAACTGACATCTCTGTACTGTTTCAACTGCCTGATTCCTTAGAGAAATTCCAGGAATACATTAATATTTGATTTGGCAAGCGGCTATTTTCCACTGTGGGGGGAGGGTACTGATTGTGTCTTCACTATTGCCAGTAATGACTGTGTGTCGTGGCGGATGAGTCTCTGAAATAACAGGTAAGAAATGTACCTCCTTCAGAATCACCACGTGGATCAGTGAGATGCATTCCGGCAGGTCCCTCAAGTAAGCAATGTAGTAGTCCAGAAAATTGTTCTGAGGAACAAACCCAGAAATGCTCAGTAAGGAATGTTAGTGGTTTGAAATTCTGCAGGGTTAGCCCCAGGTTCACTGTTGGCTCCGAGCAGAAGGGGCAGGGGAATGGGGAGGGATAGCACACAGCTTGGTTAGAATCATAGAATATCAGGGTTGGAAGGGACCTCAGAAGGTCATCTAGTCCAACCCCCTGCTCAAAGCAGGACTAATTCCCAACTAAATCATCCCAGCCAGGGCTTTGTCAAGCCGGGCCTTAAAAACCTCCAAGGAAGGAGACTCCACCACCTCCCTAGGTAACGCATTCCAGTGCTTCACCACCCTCCTAGTGAAATAGTGTTTCCTAATATCCAACCTAGACCTCCGCCACTGCAACTTGAGACCATTGCTCCTTGTTCTGTCATCTGCCACCACTGAGAACAGCTGAGCTCCATCCTCTCTGGAACCCCTCCTCAGGTAGTTGAAAGCAGCTATCAAATCCCCCCTGATTCTTCTCTTCTGGAGACTAAACAATCCCAGTTCCCTCAGCCTCTCCTCATAAGTCATGTGCTCCAGACCCCTAATCATTTTTGTTGCCCTCCGCTGGACTCTTTCCAATTTTTCCACATCCTTCTTGTAGTGTGGGGCCCAAAACTGGACACAGTACTCCAGATGAGGCCTCACCAATGTCGAATAAAGGGGAACGATCACGTTCCTCGATCTGCTGGCAAAGCCCCTACTTATACAGCCCAAAATGCCGTTAGCCTTCTTGGCAACAAGAGCACACTGTTGACTCATATACAGCTTCTCGTCCACTGTGACCCCTAGGTCCTTTTCTGCAGAACTGCTACCTAGCCATTCGGTCCCTAGTCTGTAGCAGTGCATGGGATTCTTCCGTCCTAAGTGCAGGACTCTGCACTTGTCCTTGTTGAACCTCATCAGGTTTTTTTTGGTTAAGTTAGGCCATTATCTGTACATGTACTTGTAACCCTTACCCAGTCTGAAACAGTCACAACCAAACAATTGTAACATGGTGCCTGTCAAGCTGCAACAGTCAAACCATGCTACAACAGTGGACATGTGCAGGGCCTTCACCCAGTTCCAGCAAACTCTTTACCTAGTTGTCCTGTGTTGTGGTATGGTCAGGATCTGAGCGAAGTCTTGGTGGCAGTGTAGATAAGACCTAGGGGCCGGCTGAGGCTACAACTGGAGCCCACAACGGTTTGGCAACATCTGACCCAGTTACCATGGGGCACCATGTTCACATTGTAGATTTTTATTTATTTATTTTTGCATGATGTTGCTCTGTTGGCCCATTCAGATGAACCATGCTGCACTGCCACAGTTTTACCAGTGCAAAGGCCCATGAGGGTTTAGGTTTTGGTCACAGTCACACAGCAAGTGAGTCCCAGTCCTGTGCCCCTGCACCCAAACTCCCTCCCAGAGCCTGCACCCTGCACCTCCTCCTGTACCCCAACCTCCCGCTCCAACCTGTTGAAAGTGAGTGAGGATGGGGGAGAGCGAGGGATGGAGTGAGCAGGGGCAGGGCCTCGGAGAAGGGGGCAGGGCAAGGGCTGAGAGGGGTGGCTTTGGGGGTCCCTGAAAATTTTAAAATCAAAATGGGGGTCCTCTGGTTGCAAAAGTTTGAGAACCACTGGACTAGATGATCTCTTGAGGTCCCTTCCAGTTCTGCATTTCTATGATTCTATAATGGATGTACCATTTTTGACTTGAACTGGTATGTAGTACGTAGTATGGTATGTAGACTTGTTATCCCTAGAGTTCTTTTAAATTTGTTATACAGCCAGACACGTAATTACGTTGGGGGGGAAATCTGCAGTTCTGTTTGATCCAAACACACCATTATACATAGTTAAACTAATGCAATCCTGATGCCTTTGTCGGGTGTTTTCTGTCACAAGCACTAACATACCTCATCGTTTGTTAACTTCAGGAATATGTCTCCCAGGATTCCTGGACGTGGCCAACTCAGCACCCTCTCTTGCAGCATGTGAAGTAAGTCTACATGCTGCTGGACCAGGTATCGTAAAGAACCAGGGAAGAAACTAAAGAGGGAAGATAACAGATATGATTGCACAGAGGAGTATAGAAATTCATCTAGAAAAAGAATCCGATTCCTAGGCTTTGGGAACCCACAGATTCTGCTCGCATTCATGGGCCAGCAGTTTAAAATGTGCTGGGTTTGCTTTACAAGATATTATTAATCATTGTTATTATGGTAGAGTCTACGGACCGGTGATGAATGATGCCCCATTGTATGAGGCGCTGTACAAATACAGAGTTGTAGGCTGTCCCTGCACCAAAGAGCTTGGAATCTAGTGTTTTATGATTCCAGTTCACATGCTTTTGCACTCATTGGGCCTAATGCTCGATTGCCTTGTGTAACCGACTCTGCCCAACAGGGCACGAACCTACACAGCTCAAAGCATGAGCCATTATCACTTGAGTTAGAGGACTTGGGCCCCACTCCTGCAACCACATATGGAAGTAGGATGGGACTCATTCACTGTGCACTTTACAAGATGTACCTTATAAGGAGAGCTGGTCAAAACTTCCATCCTGTGAGAAATTCCAATATTTTGACAACTGTTTTCACTCCAAATCAGGATGGAAAATGCAAAATATTTAAATATTTTGCTGAATGGAAACATCAAAAACCTTTCAGTTTAGAAATATCAAAATGTTTTGGTTTGTTGAACCAAACTGAATCTGTGTGATGGGAGTTGTAGTTTGGATGCCTCATACCTCCAATCTCTTCTATGGGCTGGGCTTCCTCTTCAGACTGTCTCGCAGAATGCACCTATGTCAAGGGACTCCCACAATGCATCACAGCAATTTAACCGGAGAAGAGACCATGGTGCATTGTGGGAGATGTAGTCTGGTCAGGGAGCCCATAGAGGAGAACGAGGTCATGAGGTACCTGAACTACAATTCCTATGAGTCACTGTGGCAACTCAGGTGGACACAGATTAGTTTCAAAATGACCTGAAACAAAACATTTCCATTTAATTCAACAAACTGAAATGTTTAGATTCAGGATGATCTGACCCAAAACGAAATATATAGTTTGATTTACCTGACAGAACATTGAAAAATTTCAGCAAAATCTAAATTTTCCCATGGAAGATTTCAATTGTGCAGAAACCGTATTTTCCAACAAAAATTGTTTTGATGGAAAATTACCAACTAGCTCCAAAGGCTGAGTGGGGGGAGAGAAGGTATGATATTGTATTGTATTTTATGATAAAAAGCATGTGATCATGTCATTAAAGGTTGTAATGCGGTATGTACATGGAAAACATGCCAAGCTTCTTATTAATATACAGCGAGGACATGGCAGAGATAGTTTTGAAGCATGTGGCCATGAGGAATATGCAGAGATCCTGAAAAGAGGAAAAGATAAAAGAAGAACCAGAAAAATGGTGAGGAAACAGACATATGAGACACAGGAGGTGGAAAGAAGAATGACAAGAGACAGACAGACGGGGGGAAATGCCTTTTAGCCGTGTATGATACTGAATAATGTATTTTATAGTCAACTATAATGGGACAGCAGTAACTGGTCCATAGTTAATGCTAAAGCCAGCAACTTCCAGTGGCAGAGGGAGAGGTATGGACTGTGAATCTGAGATTGGGGGGCTTTGTTCTCAGGTCTCAAAGAGTGGGTGCTGGGGGAGACAGGAGGGAGGAGAGCAGGATGGGCAGAGGGAGGATTAAATGAGGTGAGTCAAAGGGCATGGAGAGGGGACTAGAGGAGGCAAGAAATGTTTGGAAATAAAGCATAATATTTTAACAGGGAAGGTAATTAACTCTTGGAACAATTTACCAACAGTCATGCTGGATTCTCCATCACTGACCATTTTAATATCAAGATTGGATGGTTTTTTAAAAGACCTGCTCTAGGGATTATTTTGGGGCAGTTCTCTGGCCTGTGTTATACAGGAGGGCAGACTAGATGATCACAGTGGTCCCTTCTGGCCTTGGAATCTATGACTTGATGAAAGCAGAAAGGCGGGAAAAGGCAGAATCTTTTACCCATGTTAAACATTTTACCCATGTTAAACATTTTAAACACCTAAAGCTTTCTGGCTATAAAAAACATTAGGCACTTAAAGGTTTCAAAGTGGCTAAGAGAAAGTTCCCAAAATGTTTTTGGGGAAAAAAGAACTCGGAATGTTGAAAAAGCCCTTTTATAAAAGCCATTGTGACAGTTACAATACCTTCTCTCTTTGGTGTTCCTCTTCACGTCTGAGCCTTGCAATGTGGCTTTGATCTTCAGGATCAGGGACAGGTTGATGACATATTTCCTCTCAGACTCGAGCAGCTCCAAAGCGATGCTCTGTCTTTTGGCTTCAACAAAAAGTTTGATTTAAAAGAACATGTTCAAAGCTGCACGCTTGTGTTTGACTGGAGAGTGGGACGGGAAAGGCTGAGGAAGACTGAAGGAGCTTCCTCTTTTCATGTAATTTTCCTCACAAATATCAAGTGCTAGCCCTGATCCTGCAAAGTGCTCCACACAGGATCAGGGCCACAGTCTATTTACAAAGGAAGACTGGAAACAAGCATGTCTCTCCCCTCGACCTCCAGAGTTTCTGAAAGATCAGTTTTTTTAGAAATCATAAACAGGAAATTCACATCAAATTTGCTACATCTCTAGTAATTATACTACCCTTTAAATCAAATACACTATTCCAGTGAGAACAGTCAGGGCCAGATCCTTAGCCTGTTTGCACCACTTAGAGCTGCCCTAGCAGAGAAGTTGGGATTTCCTTTGAACCCACAGTTGACACAGAACTGTCTACGCCACCTCTAGCTCGAAGAGGCTGTTACCAGCCAACATCATAAGCTAGAGCAGCCCCGAGGCCGCTCTAACGTATGACAGGGGCTGAATTAGCCCCTGGCTGCCCCAAGGACTGCAGTTGTTCCCTGGACTGGCCTTGTGACTGCCACTCAAAACAATTCACCAATGAGGAGAGTCCAGCCCAAAAGTGAGTATAATGGGGGTACTGGCTCTTTAAGACTGCTGTGGGGCGTCTCTAGCATATTCACTGGATTTAGGAGTGTGGCAAGAAAAAACAGCCCCTGAGAAAGCAGAAGTGATTTCAGGGAGGAAGCAGAGCCAGACATCTGCTGCTGTTCAGGGCCTGAGACTGAAGCCTATTCTTGCAGCCCAGAGGGAATGTTGGGGTTAGTACTCCTGGGTCTGCTAAGAACTGTAGGGCTCTGAAGCAAAGCATGCTGGGAAGGATACACAGCATATATAATGAGCTTCCTCCCACAGAAGAGGCATAGACTTTGAGGGAATGGGATTAGGAAGAATAGTCTCTCCTAGCAGAGATGGAGAAGCAAAACTATTTGCTTCTTTGTACTTTGCCATAGATGCTCTGTGACCTCAGAGCGAGACCAGGCAGAAGGAACAATCCCAGGGAAAGAAAGTTTGTCTGTCCTTTGCCAAAGATATTAAGGACTGAGGAGCAAGGCTACAAGGAGGGTAAGGTTTTTTGTTCTTTTAAAGGACTCCACAGGCGTGGCCTGCTGTGAACTATAGGCTGTCCCAGGGAAAATTATGTGCAATTGTAAAAGGACCTTTTAAAATGGAAATGGTCAGGCAACCTTCTCTCTAAAGGGCACGATAAATACACTCTGTAATCTAACCAACACAGAATTGCACCAGTCTGTCTGGAGCCCCTCAGCAACGCAGCACAGCCTTTCTAATTCCCGTTCCTACAGGACTGAGAGCCACATGGTCTCAGGCAGCTCCCTCCAAACTGAGGCAGGGCTTTGCATGCAGCCTTCTCTCAGGGGCTATCAGTCGATGGGGCAGTTACAAGCAGAGTTGTGTGAATAATGGATTATTCGATTTGCTGGCAATTCTGAAAAAAAAAATCTTTTCGGGTCAAACAAAACATTTTGTTCAACCTGAAACATTTTGTTTCAATATCAAGCCTTTCTGTAATGTTTTTCATAGTTTAATCAAATTAAAAGAAGTCTCTAAAAGGAAATTCATTTCAAACCAAAACACTGAAATGGTTTGTTTTGAAAATGTCAAATTTTGGAAAAATTTGGAATTCCTATGGACCGAAACAGGTCAGCCAAACCAACATGAATTCTCAAGATGCAATGGTGTTGCCACATCTGCATTTTTTGCCAAAAAAGGTTTCGGCTGAAAATTTCACCCACCTCATTGTCGTCATGGCAAATCCAAATTAACAGCATAAAACGGACAAGAATGTCAATGAGACAAGGTGGGTGAGGTAATATCTTTTATTGAACCAATTTAATGTCAATGTCACTCAGCAGCTGTCAGGGTCCTGGTGAGCAGATTTTATGTCCGAAAACACCCTTTGCTGGTGGTTCTGAAAAGAAATTTTGGGGGGATTTCTGGTTCATGGGAAAATGAGAAGAAAATTGGTTTTGTTCCCCTAACTCAAATTTTGGAATGCCAACATTTCTCGCAAATGGGAAATCCTGCATTTCAGCTAGCTCTCCTCTGAAACCTAAAACAAACTTACAACTTAAACCACTTGTAGGTCCCATTGCTAACTTATTTGATTCCAGACTAGAGTTGATGGCCTCTAGAATCCCAAAGCCTCCATGCTTTTTAGCCACAGCTGCTTCTTTATTCTTACCAGCGAAAGAAGTTTCACATAAGACATTGTCCACTGAGGTGTATCTGCTTTGGCCTGTTTCCTTCACTCTGTCTGGGTGCTCCTTAGAAATATATTCATCACCCCACTCTTTGCTGTCCTTGGGCTGCTTCCACACAGTCGATGGGGGGTGACCCTTTGGCTGGATGTCAGCTGGCAAGGAAGGCTTGAGGCTTTCTTCTGTCTCTGGATTTGCACTGCTCCCCCCTAGAAACCACAAGCTGCTGTCAGGACTTAACAGTTTTTCATGCAGACTTTTTTTACAAAGATTGCAATGTAGTAATAATTACAAAACATGTCCCCTCCAAAGTGATAGGGGTGCTGTACAGTTTACGATGGATTTACTTTTCCATAAGGATGAAGCCCAAGTTCCCCTACCTGTAGGGGCAATTTGAACCTGCAAAAATGACACCTGACTTCTTGTTGCCTGAAGAATGCTTTGCAGTTGCAAGTTAGAGCACTGGTTTGCACCAGCAATCATGTACCGGTTCAAATATTCAGATTTGCACCACCAATTCAAATGCAAGTGCAAAAATGCAAGTGCAAATTCCACTCACAAGATGGATGCCACCCTTTTGAAAATCTCTTCCTAAAAGCATCCAATACAGTAGGGTTACCATACGTCTGTTTTTTCCTGGACATGTCTGGCTTTTTGGTAATCAAACCCCCGTCCGGGGGGAATTTCCAAAAAGCCGAACATGTCCGGGAAAAATACTCCCTGGCTTACCTTAGA